GCGCCCGACAGGATATGCGCGCCGACCTCGGACCCTTTTTCGAGAACGCAGACGGCCAGCTCAGCGCCCGCCTCAGCTGCCAGTTGCTTCAACCGGATTTGCCGCCGACAGGCCCGCTGGGCCAGCGCCGCACCAAACATCGACCACGCTCATGGTCTGGTCTGCGGGCATATAGCGTCCTGTTCGACGGGTTCGCTCGGCGGAATGTCTGACATTGACCGATACTCCGCGCCAGCGGGCAATTCGATATGGGGCATTCTGACGTTCGACACGGGCTCGTCCGGCCAGCCTGCTGGAATGGTGGATCGAGCCGGCGTCGATTCTGTGAACCCGCGACTGGATGGCGGAGCCCATCCGGTCAGCTTCGCACCGCCATCGGCGCCACAGCACGGGCCGCACCGCAGCGATCCTGACGCCAGCCGCGGCTAATTCGATACGCGACGGCATTTTTGAATGGGCCTGTCCGATGCCGCGCCTGAGGCGTCCCTGACGGCATTTCGCTGACCGCGACGGCCCTGCTGATGCCACGCTGATGGTGCTGGTCCGATTGCCCTGATCGCGATGACGGCGAAGCGGGGCAGATCTGTCCGGCGCGCCCGGCGGTTGTTCACCGGATGCTGGCCGCGATCGCCCAGTCGCGCGAGACCGTCCACCTCGCTCCGTCTGCGCGGCGGCCTCTCGCCGGCCGCACCCCGCCGATCTGGAAAGCCGGTTGGCGAGATTGCCTGCCATCATGTCAATTGATCCGCCCGCGCGGGCTTCTCCTGTTGGGCAATGCGGCGAGCCATTGCCGTCCCGGGACCGAATTAACCAGCGCACGCGGACATTTGCATGCTGTTGACCGCAGAACGGCAAAAGTCAGGCGGCTCGTTTCCATCCGCGTTTTCTGATCGAAAGCCGATGGCCAAGGCGGAAAGCTGGAAGGATTTGCAGTTGCTCATGGGGACTTGGCGGAATGAAGCTGGGCTACGCTGTCGGACGCACGCTGGCGATCAGGGGCCCCTGCTGGCTACCGGAACAGCGATGATGGCGGGCTGGCGATGGCCGACCTGCTCGACACCGCCAGCACCTGCAGCCCTGCCGCGCTGAGGCGCGCTCAGCATCCCGGGCTTCTCGATGCCGAACAGAAGGCGGTTACGCCCGCGTCTTCGCAGCGATCCGCGACAGCCGGTGGACCGATGCGCAACTGCGGCTCGATGCGCTGAAGCCCAGGCCGCTCACGCCATCGCGCGCGCCGACTCTCTATACCGCCAAAGGGATCGCCCAAGGTCGATGTCGAGCGGCTGGTTGCACTGTCAACGAAGCGCCTGAGCGCCCCGGCCGAACAGCTCGCACGTTTTGCTCGGTCGCGGCGCGCGCGTGACCTGCCGCCGCTGCCTGAGACGCACATTCTGATCTGGCAGGATCATGCCCCCGCCGACCAAAGCAAGAGCGTGAAGAGTGATATGATGCAACCTTCTCAAGGCCGCCTTCGTCAAGGCCGGCGCGCCTCGGCGCAGGCGCTGCTCGATCGACCTCCGGCCTGTCCTCCGACGCGCTGACCGTATGGCAACAGCGCGTGGCTGGATGTTTTGTCCGGCGACGACGCTAATGCCTGCGCCATGGCGACGACGCCAATGGCTATGGCCGCGATCCGTGGCTGCTGGACCATCGCCCTGTCGGCGTGGCGGCAGAATGACTGCCAGACCGCTGAAACTGCGTTTGCGGGCACGGCGGGCGTGCGACCTGTACTGGGCGGCGGCGCGCGGACATGATGCGGGCGCCCCGACCGGATCGAGGGGGTTACGCACCGCTGCCCAGCATCGCGAAAAGCTTCTATGGCCAGTTGGCGCGTCGGGCGCTCGGCATGCAGGGGCCAGCGCGAACCGCGCGGGCAGCTCGTCGCGACCGATTGGGCCGCGCTCGGATCGTCGTCCCAATATCCGGTTTGCCGCCGCCCTCGTCGAAATCTCCGAGACCGATCTGGCCGATCAGGTCATCCGCCAGCAGGCCCGGATCGGCCAGCCGACCGAATTCCGCAGCCTCGTCCGCCTCGCCGGATCAGTTTCGACCGCCCGCGACCACCGTCTGGCTGGCGGCTAACCGTCCCGGCAGGCGTCACCTGCGACCGCCGAGGCGCGCCATCCGACGCCCAGTTGGACGCCGACAGCGGCTGGCGTGTCGAAAAGGCGCTGGTCTATGCGCACACGCTTCGTGGAAGCGGCTTCCCGCAAGGTGGTCAGCCGGCGGGCGCCTATGGCCTGATGCAGACTGTGCGGCCGCGGCAACCGATTTCGCGCGTGAACGCGGTCGATCGACCGTTCGGCGCTGAATGACCGTCGACCAATATGGATATCGGCCAGCGCGCCATCTGGAGCGATTGCGCGATATGACCACCGTGACCGGCGGCCTGCTGCAAGGTGATCGCGGCCTATAATGCCGGTCCCAAGCCGGTCGGTGGTCGGAACAGCACGTCACGCGATGGCGGCGATCCGCTGCTACATCGAGAGCATCCCCATTGGGAGACGCGTGGCACTGTGTGACCATGGTCCTGCGCAACTACTGGATGGCTGAGAGCCAGACCGGCAAGGCCAAGTCGCCCACAGCCGCGCTGCTGGCGCGGGGCTATGGGCGCGCTTTCCCTGGATTGCCGGGGCGTCGGCGGTGCGGCTGCAGCGCTTTAATGTTACGCAGGCGAGCGTCGCGGGACGACGATCGCACTGAATGCGACGGTCGACCCGCAGTCGAATACGGCGCTGCCCAAGCGAATTGATCGGATACGGGCCGGGAGGGATTCCCTTGGCCTTCGACTTCGCTCAGGGCGAACGGTGGCGGAAGTATGCAGACCCAAGAATAAGCGGCTGAACCTCCGTTCGCGCTGAGCGAAGTCGTGAAGTCCATGCCCACGCTGCGGTTGGACGCAGAACCGGCTTCGCGCCATAAGCAACCTACACCTCCGTTCGCGCTGAGCGAAGTCGAAGGCCCGCCCCACCCGCCCAAAAACCCGCCGCGGACGTTCCACCGCCATGCCGATCGGATACCGCTCGCCAATTTCACCCCCGTCCGCATCGCGGTCCTGACCGTCTCCGACACGCGCTCGCTGGCGGAGGACCGTTCAGGCGACACGCTACGGCCTTCTGACCGAGGCCAGGCACGAATCGGCTGGAGCGCGCGCCATCCTGCGCGACGATGTTGATCATATCGTCCGCGCAGCTTCACGCTGGATCGATGATGAGAGCATCGACTGCATCCTGACCACCGGCGGCACCGGCGTCACCGGCCCGCGACCGTTACCCCGAGGCCGTCGAGCGAGTCGCGACCAAGATAATCCGGGCTTCGGCGAACTCTTCCCGGCTGGCTCAGCTTCCAGACAATCCAGCACCTCGACCATCCAGTCGCGGGCCTGCAACCTGGTGTCGCGCGCGGCACCTATATCTTCGCGCTGCCGGGCTCGATAGGCGGTCAAGGATGCCCGGAACGGCATCCTGCGCGACCAACTCGACAACCGCCACCGCCCTGCAACTTCGTCGGGCGATGCCGCGCCTGCTGGAGCGCTGAGGTTACGCAGGCTGCATCGCCGCAGTTCATGCCCGTCGATATCGCGGTAAAACCGCCGCCCGCCGGGAAAAAGCGAAGATCGGCACGACGATAGCGCCACCCGCCGCCTCCACCGCCTGAAGCGCCGCTCCAGATCGTCGACGCGAATGACCGGCGAAGCGCCTTGACCTTCTCCGGCGCGGCGTCGACCCGACATCGCTATCCCCGCTCATCGTTGCGGCATGGTGGGTCGAAAATCGGTGAAGGTCAGCCAAAGGCCTCCGCATAAAGCGCTTCGCCGCCGCCCGATCCCGACCGGCAATTCCAGATAGTCCAACCGCGCATCTCTACCTCCATCGTTCTTGCTATGTTCCAGCTGCCCTAGTTTCGACCGATGGGCAACCGGATCAACCGAAAGCAGGCGCAACAGGGCGCGACGGTCAACGCCATTAGCCGCCGCTTCACGCTCCCGAAGTATCGCCGACGGGGACTGGCTCAATGCAAAAGCACCGGTGACGGCTCACCGCCACCGTTGCGAACGAGTGTCACGGTCGAGCAGGCACGTACGATCACTAGCCGCAACAGCTCGCCGGACGTGCCGTTCGACCGTTCGATCAACCCATATCGCGGTTTGCGAACATGGGCATCTGTTGCTTCGCCCGGCCGACGCATGCCTATCGACCCTGTCGCCGGGACTGGACTTTGAAAGTCGGTTGTTCGCCAAGCCCAACGCGGCTGAACTTCTGCAGGTCGAGCTGGCCAAACCCAGCTACCGTGTCGCGCCGATTGCGCTGGGCACCAACACCGATCTATCGGCCGATCGAGGGCGAATGGCGGATTACCCGCGCGATCTTGCAGGTGCTGGCCGAAGCCAATCGTCGGTGGCGATCACCGCAAGTCCCGACCGGATCGTGGGCGACTTGGATATATTAGGGTCGATGCGACCAAGGGGCTAGCCACGGTCTGTATTTCGGTTACGTCGCTTGATGCCAAGGTCGCGCGTACGGTCGAAACCCCCGCGCCCACGCCTGAGCGACGGCTGGCCGCGGTGGGGAAATTGGCCGCGGCAGGCATCCCGACCTGTCTCGATCACACCCGTCATTCCGGCGATTACCGATGCACCGAGATGAAGCATCTGGTCGCTCGCGCAGCGGGCGCGCGTCATGCCTTCTTCATCCGGTTTCGCCTGCCGCACGAAGTCTTCGCTGTTCCGCGCACGGCTGGACGCATTTTCCCGAACAGGCGGGCAAGGTGATGGCGATCATCCAGAACTTGCGTGGCGGGCGCAACAGTCCGGATTTCTTTACCAAATGCAGGGTCAGGGGCCTTAGGCGGACCACTGCGGGTCCGCTTTCACCGCGCCTGTCGGCTGCGCCGGCTCAATCGGGATCGACCGATGCTCGACTTCTCCAGTTCCGCCCGCCCAAAAGGTCCGCAAAGGTGAGCTGTTTTGAGGATCGCGCTGGTTCTCAAAGCGTTATGCCGCCTGAAGGAGAGAGTGAATGATCAACGATCCCGAGCAGACTCAGCCGGAGCAGGTCCCGAACGAGGATGAAGCCGATAGCTCGGGTGGCGGCTATGGCAATCACGGCGACGCGGGCGAAGAGCAGGATCGACGCGAAGTCGGTGGCTGACACCCCGCGAAGATTTGTTTCGATAAAATTGCCACCCAGCGCAGGCTGGAATCGTGCAATGGGTTTGCGCCTTCGCTCCAGCCTGCGCCAGGGGCAAAGGCGCGGTGGATTACCCGACCAAGCCAGCCGCGCCTCGGACGACTTCATCGCTACCTTCCGCCCGGCAAATCCTCGATATGGCTCGCCAGTTCGGCGTCGAGCAGAAATTCCGCCCAAGCGTCAGCAGCGTATCGCCATCCCCCGACGATCCGGGCCCGCACCTCGCCACGTCCGTTGCGCAAGGGATCGAGCATCGCCCGCAGCGCAGGAAGGCCGCCTTGTCGGTCACCGTCACCTCGACCACGAACTTGTGTACTGGCGAGGCCGTCAACTGGACCCGCTTGATACTGACCCGCGCTTCCTCGCCAGGCGGCGATCGAGTTCGACGGTGATGACGCGCAGTCGCCCTCCCAGCCGCCTTCTCCAAATCGGCCGCGACCAGATCGTCGAAGCACGTCGCGGGGAACTGCCCGTCGCATCGGAGCTGCGCCATCGTGTAGCGCTTGCCCCGCGCGAAAGTCCGCCAGCAGGCATCCTCGACCAGCGCCGCCATGGTCGCGCCGATCCGCGCACCGTCATCAGGGGATGATAAGCTCGGTCAGCGAGAGGTATAGGTGCGCGCTCCGTGCATCTTGGCGATATGCGCGTGGCGATCGACCGGATGTGCCGAGAAGCCGAACGCCTCCTTCTCCTGCTCCATCCGCTGCGACAGCGTCAGCGCACGCCAGGCTTGATCGCATCGCCCGCGACCTCGGTCTCGCCGAACAACTTCCCCCCTGCCCCGCTGGTCCGGCCCTCATGGGTGCGCGCCGCGTGGCGAGAACCGTTTCGGCGACCGCGGACGCCTGCGCGGTTAGCCTCGATCCGTCGAACGCCCCGCCGAGGCGAGCGTCTCAACTGGCGCTTGTTCATCAGCCGGGGATCGACCAGCAGCCCAACGCATCGAGCGGGAGCGAAGGCCCCGCCCGCCTCGCGCTCGACGACTCCAACTTCTCCATCGCCCTTCGCCCACCGACTTGAGCGCGCCGAGGGGCATAGCGGACGGCGAGCCATCCTCATATGGTTCGACATGGAACTCGGCACGGCTGGCGTTGATGCAGGGCAGCATCGTCACCATGCGCCGCGCATCATCGACGAAGATCGCCAGCTTGTCAGTCAGCGCCAATAAGTAGCACATCGACGCGGCATAGAATTCATGCGGGTGATGCGCCTTCAGCCACGCCGTCTGATGAGCGAGCAACGCGCATAGGCCGCCGCGTGGCTCTTTGTTGAAGCCATAGCCGGCGAACTTGTCGATCAAATCGAACGGTTCATTGGCCTTTTGCGCCGGGATGCCGTTTCACCTCCAGCGGCCCGCCAGCAGATGATGGCGCTGCGTCCATCTCGCCTTGACCTTCTTGCCCATCGCGCGGCGGAAGATCAGCGCCGCCCAGCGAATAACCCGCCAAGATCTGGGCGGCCTGCATCACCTGTTCCTGATAGACGAAAATGCCGTGGTCACCGGACAATATCTGTTCGAGCAGGGGGATGCCGGGTAGATGATCTCTCGGTGCCTGCTTGCGGCGACTGGGGATATTGTCCATCGGGCGGCCGATAGAGGCGGCGGCACCGTGATGTCGCCGCGTGGTCATGCACGGCGGACAGGGTGCCTGCAGCACAGCTTCAGTTCCAGCTGGAACACCGACCGTATCGCCCTTCAAACAGGGCGTGGGTGGCCTCGTCGTCCCAAGCCAATGCGCCCAAGTCGACATCGACGCCGCGCTTTGCGGAGCAACTGCACCGCCTTCTGCAACACCGACAGCGTCTTGAGGCCGAGAAAGTCGAACTTGACCAGCCCGGCGCCCTCGACGAACTTCATGTCGAACTGCGTCACCGGCATGTCCGAGCGCGGATCGCGGTAGAGCGGCACAGCAGGTTGCGCCAGCAACCGGTCGCCGATCACCACGCCGGCGGCGTGGGTGGAGGAGGGCGCGGCAAGCCCTCCAGCTTGGTGGCAAGGTCGAGCAGCCGGCGGACCTGATTGTCGTTGGCATATTCCTTCGCCAACTCGGGCACGCCGTTCAGCGCGCGCTTCAGGTCGTGGATCGGTCGGATGGTTGCGGGCACCGAAAGCTTGGGGAGACGGTCGACCGCCATAGCTCATTCTGTAGCACGCGGCCGGTGTCCTGAGCACCGCGCGCGCCTTCAGCTTACCGAAGGTGATGATCTGCGACCTGATCGCGGCCGTACTTTTTCCTGCACATAGCGGATGACCTCGCCACGCCGGGTTTCGCAGAAGTCGATGTCGAAGTCGGGCATCGACACACGTTCCGGGTTCAGGAAGCGTTCGAACAGCAGGCCGAGCTTCAAGGATCGAGGTCGGTGATGGTCAGCGCCCGGGCGACCACCGAGCCTGCGCTCGAACCACGGCCGGGGCCCCACGGAATATCATGATCCTTGGCCCATTTGATGAAGTCGGCGACGATCAGGAGCAGCCAGGAAAGCCCATCTGGATGATGATGATGTCGACCTCGGGCGTGTTAGATTCGTGATAGGCCTCGCGCCAGCCGGGTTCGCCCTCGCCCCTCCAGTTCGGCGATACGACGAGGCGAGCCTCCAGACCGGCGGTCGCGTCGCGACGAAGCATCGCCGCCTCGCCTCACGGTCGCCCGCAAAGGCTGGGCAGGATGGCTTGCGCCATGGAGCCATGACGGGGCAGCGCTGCGCGACGACCAGCGTGTTGTCGATCGCTTCGGAAGATCGGCGAAGAACTGCGCCCATCACCTCGGCAGGCTTCAGCCAAGCCCGGGCGAGCTTTTGGGGCGGTCGTCCATTTCGACATAGGTCGAATTGGCGATGCACATGGCGTCATGCGCATCGCGGAACCCGCTATCGGCAGCAGCAGGGTTGGTCGCGACCGGGGGCAGATCGCGGTCATAAACCAGATCGATCAGATCCTGCTCGGCGGCGATCTCCGTGGGATCGTCGCGTCGGGCGAAACTCGATATAGAGCCGGTCGCCGAACATCGCCTGAAGCCGGTCCGCAGGCCTTGCCTGTCGGGCTGCCCTCGGGCGGGCGGGCGATGCCCCCCGCCGCCCGCCGTCAGCGCGATCAGACCCGGTGCTGAATTTACCCAGCGTGTCGAAACCGACATGCGCGGCCAGTTCGATCGGCTGGCTCCAGATGCGCCGCCAAAGACGAGTGCGCAGAGATTTGTCATAGCCGGTCATGTCCTGGCGCATGAAGCGCGTCAGTCGACCACTGGCGTCACGCTATCGGGCATGTCCGGCCGCGCGACACCAACATCGTGCCGATGATCGGCTGTACGCCGGCCTTCTTCGCGGCGTCCGAAAAGGTATATCGCGGCATAAAGGCCGTTGCGATCGGTCAGGCCGGCGGCGGAAAAAGCGTTCGTCGGCCTGCGCCGCGATCGCCTTTGGGATCGATCGCGCCGTCCAGCATCGTGAAGGAGAAAAGAGTGAAGCGGCACATATCGGAATGCGCCACCCCTACCCGACGCCGCGTGATTCGACCAGCACGGAACCGGGAGGAAGGCGAACCGTTACGGTGACAGAAGGATTAATCCGATTGAGGATTAATCCAGATTGGGACGAGACGATGACCGACACCACCGTTCCTTGGACCTCGCTCCGCCCCGGGGCGGATGGGCCTGATTCTGGCCTGCGGCGTGCTGTCGGCACTGCTCGGCTTCGCGGCCTTCCTGTTCCTGGTGCCAGCGACCGCGGCGACCCCGGTGATCGGCGCGTTCTTCATCGCCTCGGGATCGTATTATCGGTGCCGGAATTTTCGGCAAAGGGCATGAGGGGCGCGGCTATGCCATCGGCTTCGGATTGTGTCGTTGATCATCGGCCTGATCATGGCCTTTGAGCCGGCAACAGGGAGCGATCTCGATCACCTTGCTGGTCGCGGTGTGGCTGGGCCTGCGCGGCCGGATTGGAATCGGCAGGCGCGCGGATGCGGCGGCGCGGTGGATGATCGCCATGGGGGTGCGAACATCATTCTGGCGTTGTTCGTGCTCGCCACACCCTGCCGAGCGCGATGACGTTGCCCGGTTATATTCTGGTCTTAGCTTCTGTTCGGTGGGATCACCGCCATCGCGTCCGCGCGCTGGATCACAAGAAGGAACGAGCGCGTTCGCCCTTTGACGAGATGGGAGCCGAAGCCTAGTATCGCCAGGCTCGATTTCCGGCGTTTTCGGCGTTTAAAGGACGGAATAGGGCAGCTTGTGGCGCGCGCCCTTACGACACTCGCTCGGGCTGAACGGAGGCGATCCCCAGAACGGCCTCGATATCCTTTGACAAATCTTCGGGTTTTGGTTGTCGGGGTATAGCGGCCCACAACCTCACCATCGCGGTTGACCGGGAACTTCGTGAAGTTCCACTGATCCTCTTCGTCCCCAACAGCCTGTGCGCCTCCGCGGCAGCCACTGGGTGTGGATCGGCCCCGTCACCATTGACTTCCACCTTGGCGAGCACGGGGAAGGTCACGTCATAGGTCGTCGAACAGAAATTCGCGATCTCGGTCGCATCGCCCGGCTCCTGCCCACCAAACTGGTTGCAGGAAATCCCACCACCGTCAGCCCCTGCGCCTCATAACGACGATGCAGCGCCCAGCCCCTTCATATTGTGGGGTGAAGCCGCATTGGGACGCCGTGTTGACGATCAAGAGCACGCGGCCGGCATAGGCGGACATGTCGACGGCCCGGCCATCCGCCGCCGTGACGGTGAATTTGCCGATGTCGCTCATTCGTGCTTCCCCCAGCAGATAATCTAGATTGGCGCGGACGCCGGCCATTCACGCGGTCGATGATCGAATAGACGACACTATCCCGGATGCAGCCATCGGCCATCACCGGTGGCCGCGCAATACGCCATCCTTCTTCGCGCCCAATCGCTCGATCGCGGCCCGGCTGCGCTTTGTTGAGCTGGTCGGTGCGGATCTGGATCGCCTGGACTTCCATGACCTCGAACGCATGCGCCAGCAGCATCCGCTTCGCCTCGGTATTCGCGCCCGTACGCTGGACCCGCGGTGGCGTAAGGTGCCGCCAATCTCCAGCCGCCGATGCTGCGGCGCCATCCACATATAGGGTCGTGCCGACCACCTCGCCATCGGCGTTTCGACCGTGAAGAGCAGCGCCCGGCCAACGTCACGCTCCTTCAGCACCGCCGCCAGCCAGCGTTCAGGTATCTTCATCATCGAGACATTGGCGTAGAAAGATGTTCCAAAGCCCACCCTCGCGCGCCGCCTCGACCAGCGCGGGCAGATCATCCTCGACAAAGGGCGCAATGTCACGTGACGACCTTTCAGTGTCGGCGTCTCTGCCCAGACATTCATTGCAACCGCCCCTCATGCAAGCGGACCACCCGGTCCATCTTCAGCGCCAGCCGTTCGTTATGCGTCGCGATCGCTGCCGAGCCCCTGCAGCACCAGCCGCAGGAACTCGGCCAACACCGCTTCGGACGTATGCTCGTCGAAGTTACCGGTCGGTCGTCCGCCAGCACCAGCGGCGGCTGGTTCGCAAGCGCACGCGCCACGGCGACACGCTGCTGCTCGCCGCCCGACGTAATTGGGCTGATGGGTCAGGCGATGGCCAAGCCCAGCGCGGTCAGCAAGCCCTTGGCGCGCGTATCATGGCGACAGGCAACGCCCCTGTACCAGGTGCGGCAATCATCGACATTCTGATCGCGGTGAAATCGGGCAGCAAATGGTGGAACTGATAGACGAAGCCCAGATAATCGCGCCGCGCGACTGTTGCGGCCATGCGAGTCGAGCTGATAACTTCCTCGCCGGCGATGCGGATCGATCCTGAAAACCGCCTTCAGCGGCCCGACGGCCTGCAATATGTCGACTTGCCCGATCCCGAGGGGCCGAGCAGCGACGATCTCACCCGCGCGATGGCCAGATCGACGCCGCGCAGCACTTCGATCGTCTGGCGCCTTGGGTGAAGCTGCGCGAGAGGCCGACCGTCTCCGGGACCGGCTCGGCGGCGCGGGGCGCGATGGCGGTCCCCATGCGGATGATCTGGGTCATTCATAGCGCAACACCTGAACCGGGTCCGTGTCGCCGCCTCCGTGCGGGTAGAGCGTGGCAAGGAAGGAAGAAGACCAGCGCCATCGCCGCGATCACCACGATCTCGATCGATCGGGCTTTCAGGGCAACTTCGGTCAGATAGCGGATCGAGGGTCCCACAAATTCTGGACCCGTGACGAACTGGACGAAATTCACCACCGCTTGGCGATAGAAGAGGAAGACCGCGCCCAGTACCAGCCCGGCGACGGTACTTCGAGCGCGCTGATCGTCGCCGACCGTCATGAAGATGCGCATCAAGCCACCCCGCGTCGCGCCCATGGTGCGCAGGATGGCGATATCACGCGTCTTGCTAATGGACCAGCATGATCAGCGAGACAGGATGTTGAACACCGCGACCGTGATGATGATCGACAACACGGTGAACATCGCCACCCGCTCGACCGCCGCCAGCGCCTGAACAATTGCGCGTTCATCGTCCGCCAGTCGGCGATGACGCGCGCCCGCCCAGCTTGTCGGCGAGCGGCGCCAATATCTGGCCCACCCGGTCGGCATCGGTGGTTTGTACTTCGACCATACCGACCGTGTCGCCCATCAGCAGCAAAGTTCGCGCACTGATCGGCATGATCACATAGGCTTTGTCGTAATCATACACGCCGATCTCGAAGATCGCGCCAACCGTATAGCTGACGATACGCGGCACCGTGCCGAAAGGCGTCGTCTGCCCCTGCGGACTGATCAACGAAATCTCCGAGCCGACCATGCGCCAGCGCCTGCCGCGACTGCCGATCGCGATCCGGTTGTTGCCGGGGTCACGCTCATCAGATTGCCCATGATGACCTTGGACCGGATCGCCGAGTTGCCGCGAATGTCGCCGACGCGCATGCCGCGCACCAGCACCGCCTCGACCCGGCCATTATAGGTCGCCATCAGCGGCTGCTCGATCATCGGTACCGCGCTAGTCACACCGGCGTCGCTCGGCCTGCGCACGATATCACGCCAGTCGGGCAGACGGCCGCCCGTGCCCTGCACCACCGCATGACCGTTGAGACCGACGATCTTGTCGAACAGCTCAGCGCGAAAGCCGTTCATCACGCTCATGACGATGACGAGCGCGGCGACACCCAGCATGACCGCCAGACTGATCGATGCGACGAGGAAGATGAACGCCTCCCCTTGCCCGGCAGCAGATAGCGCCGGGCGATCATCCGTTCATAAAGCGAGACAGGATGTGCAAGTCCGATCGATCCATGGGAAAACCTAAAGCGAATGCGGCTGTGAGGGGCTCCCCATGCTGGTAATGCCACCGCTGGCGACCGGGCAGAAACCGGTCAGCACGGACATTGTTGCGTGCCGGACACACTTCCACCTCAATCGTAGCGCGGATGCCGCAAGGGTATGCTTAAAAAGCCGTGAGGCTCGTACCACAATCTCACTGGAGACACAGGCAGCAACGGCCGTGGTTCAGGGGATTGTTCAACGCTCACCCAAAGAGGTTTGATGCGGGGGAGTGGGGAAAAGGGGCTGACGAGCGATCGTCACGCAGGCGCTTGGATCGGAAACGGTCCGGGCGTTTGTCGGGCATCGGCTCACTCACCATCCGACGAGTGCGCCGCCGAGACCGGCGGAGGGAACGGGGGCTTCAGACTGCCGTTCGGTGCCGGCCCGGCGCTCCGTACGGATCTTCGCTATAACAGATCAAGATGAACCGAATGGACGGATTATGGAGATTCGCGGATCGGAGGTTCTCTTGGTGAAGCGCTGCCGTTTCAACGCCGGGTCCGTCCGGCGGCACCCCCATCTCAATGAAGGTGCCGCTCAGCTCTGCCCATAGTCGGGTCGCCGATTGCCGATCAGAACGATTTGAAATCGAAACCCATATGTCCGGGGATCACCCGCTGCCCGACGATCAGGGCCCGTCGAACCTGACTGTCGCCAGCTCGTAATATTGCGGTCGAACAGATTGCGGACCAGACGCAAGGCGTTCCAGCTCCGCGCCTTTTGAACGCACGGACGTTGGGATGTTAATTTCCCGCGATATCGGTATAGGCCGAGCGTGACGGGTTGGATGAGAATTTGGACCGATAGCTGCCATCATAGCGAGGTAGAACTGCCTCGGTCCCCGCCACCGTCATGGGCAGGTCATGCCCCTGCGCTATAGGAGAACGCCCGGCGCGAGACGCCGGGCAGCCACTGCCCTGAGATCGCAATAATAGGCAGCGGGTGCCCGGGCGTGCCCGCCGGTGCCGCGTCCTGACGATCTGGCCATTCACCACGGGCAGCGCAGTGCCACCGATGTTCAGGCACGGGCGTTGGTGAAACGGGTATAGCGCGCATCGGTAAAAAAGGCACCATTGGCGTAGACATTGAATCGACTGGTCGGGCGGAAGGCGAATCGATCCTCGATCCGCGCATTCTGCACCCGGCCGGCATTCGCCAATAGCCACGCAGGACATTGACCTGCAGATTGTTCACCGTCGCCTGATAATCCGCGATCTCGGTCCAGAAACCGGCGATGTTCAGCGTCGCGCGGCGATCGGCAAATTAGGTCTTCAGCCCCAGTTCGAAGTGATTGACCTTTCAGGCCGTTAATGGTCTGCGTCGCCGAGGATCGGATTAGCGTTCGGTCAGGCAGCAGGCCCGACAGGTTGATCCCCCGGACTTATAGCTGCGCGCATAGGTCGCATAATAATGGACGTTGGGATTGATTGGTATAGACGGTCAGATCGCCGGACAGATTCCAGCAGAAGGACGGGCGGCTTTGCGGCGAGCAGCACGCCGCGGTGGTCGCTCGTCAGGTTGCCCGAACCGGCGCCATTGGTGACGGTCGACGTAGGGAGCCGTCCTGCGGATCGCAGATTGAGCCGCAGGCGGGCGCGATCGACAGTTGCCGGTCGGGTGCGGTCAGCTTGCCGAACAGCGCCGCCGAGGTGCTGGTGAAGTTGATCGTGTTGCGCGCGGTTAGCCCATGGAGCGTCGTGGGATTGCGCCCCGCCGCGCTGGTCGGGTTGAGCAGAAGGCGCTCGCCGCCGGCCCCTGAACTTGGAGCCCCAGGTGTCGATCGACTGCCAAGTAAAAGGCGCCCAGCACATAATCGAGCATCCGCTTGCCGTTGGACGCGATCCGGATCTCCTGCGTCACTTGGCTCTGCTGCGAGGGGTTGGCAGAGACGGTGGTGATGGGCAGACCGATGAAATCGCCCGGTCGTTGGATGGGTCCCAATGCCAGAAGCGCCACGCCGACACGCTCGTCAGCGTCGCATCGCTGATATCCCAATTGGCGAGGCGACGACAGGCCACCCAATTCCTGCTTGGCGCAGATCGGTATCGACATCGGTCAACCGGTCGAAGGCGTTGGTCGAGGGGACGCTATAGCCCTGCGCGGCGGCCAGCGCGGCATATTGCCGGTTGAGCAGCCGCTGCGTCGCCGACGCGGGCATAATATTGACGCAGCAATTAGGGGTTCTGCGCATAATCGCCCGACAGGGTCAGGTCGAGCGTCGGGGTCGCGTGCCATAGAAATTGGCTGCGCAGCGACAGATTGGTCTGGCTGTTCTGCGCCATTTCCTGCTGCCGGGTGTTGTGGGCAATTGCCGCGCCGCGTGGTGATCGAGGTCGACAGCCGCACCGCGACCTTTATCGTCGACCAGCGGGCCGACACCGACGCCTTTTTTGGAAGAAATCGTAATTACCAGCGCTCAGCTCGACGCGCCCTCGGCGTGAAGCTGGGCGGGCGAGGAGGATGATCGCGCCAGCCGTGGTGTTCTTGCCATAGAGCGTGCCTGCGGCCCGCGCAGCACGCCTCGATCCGCTCGGTATCGGTGAAGTCGAACGTCGCCGAGGCGATGCGGTTGTAATGAACCTGATCGACACAGATGCCGGGACGCCCTGTTCGATCCGTCATTGGTAAGGCCGAACGGAGCGCCCAGAAGCCACGGATATTGGCCGCCGAATTGCGCGGGTTGGTCAAATGAATTGCAGCGTCGGCTGTATCTGCGTCAGCCGGTTGACGTGTACGTCCCAATCTCCAGCCAGCGCGGTGCGCTGATCACCGATATGGCGATGGGCACCGTCTGGATGGTCTCGGCCGACGGCGGGCGGTAACGACCACATCCCCCCGCCCTGGCAGCGCGAGCCTTTATGCCCTTCGTCGCGACAGGCTTGGGTGGTCCGGAGCACGGGGCTCGCGTCTTGCGGGTCGGCGGTGGCGTGGCGCGCGCCGCTTTGCGCAACCGGGATCAGCGCGGGTCAGGGACATGGAAGTCCCTTTGATTTCACCTCCTATTCACACATCGTTTTAGTAGGCGTTCCGCCGTCGGTGCCCCTTAGCCAGCGAAGATTTGCTTTTCGATCCGAAACGGCCCTTGAGACCATCTCATTACGAACCATATCGGTTCGCGTGTGGTGCCGATAGCGGGCCGCACGGATGGTCGAACCCGTGCCGGGCGCACCGGCCGATCCATTTCATTCGCTTCTGATGGAGGTTTTTGACATGCGTATCGATCCTGACCCCGTATCGCCGTTCGACCATCGTTTCGACCGGCTATTCGATCTGCTGGAGGCCAATTCGCGTGGCGCTTCAGCGGGAATTACCCCCTTCAACCTCCGAGCGTCTGGCGGACGACCGTTACCGCATCACCCCGGCGGTGGCCGGCGCCCGCGACGAGATCGAGATCACCGCGCAGCAGAATGCTGCTCGTCACCGGCAAGAAGGATGACAAGGCAGATTCGCCCAACTTCACCGTATGGGATCGTTAATCGCTCGTTCGAACGGCGCTTCGAACTGGCGGACTTTCGTGTTCGTCGAGGTGATGCGCGCCTGAACGACGGCCCGTCGTCATCGACCTCGTCCGCGAGGTGCCCGAAGCGATGTAGCCCAAGACGATCGCGATCAAGACGGGCCAGCCGCTCGCGCAGGGAACATCACGCCGATCAGCCGACAGGAGGCCAAGGCGGCTAATCCTCGGCGTCTTTCTCCCTCAAAGACGTCGCGGGGCGACGGACCGACGGGTCCGCGCCTTATGTTTGTGTCCTGGACGAGTCCGGACCACCGTTCAGGCTGAGCGTAGTCGAAGCCCATGCCTGCCACCACCCCGGTGGACAGGCTTTCCCTTGGCCTTGACCTTCCACTTCGCTCAGGCTGAACGGAGGACAGGATTGCCCCCAAAGGGAAAACCCCGCCTCCATCTGGGAGGCGGGGTTCCCAAAATCATACCAACCGGTTTGCTTCACCGCCGCTTCGACGAAGCTGGCGAAAACCGGATGTGGGTCGAAGGGTTGGACTTTGGGTTCCAGGTGGAACTGCACGCCGACGAACCAGATGGTCGGGCCGCTCGACGATCTCGGGCAGCGTGCCGTCGGGCGACATGCCGCTAAAAACCGGGCCGCCCTTTCAGCGCTTCCTTGTAGGCGGTGTTCACCTCATAGCGGGTAACGATGCCGCTCGGAGATGCTCTTCGCCGCCATAGATGGAGGCGACGACGCTGTTGCCCGCCAGCTTGGCCTGATAGGCGCTCAGCCGCATCGTGCCGCCCGTGCCGCCGCTTCGCCTTGCGCTTCTCCGCGCCGTCACGCCCATCCATTCTTGGCATCAGGCTGACCCACCGGCTCGAGGTCGGGCCGAACTTCATCGACGACGCATCAGCGATCCCGGCGAGATCGCGCGCGCCCTCGACGCACGCCATCTGCGTGCCGAAGCAGATGCCGAAATAGGGAACGCGACGTTCGCGCTGAAGCGCACCGCCGCGATCTTTGCCCTGCGCGCCGCGCCGAACGCGCCGGGGACGAGGATGGCGGCACGGCTCGAGCTGCTGCGCGATCTCACTCTCGTCGCCCTCGAACAGCTCGGCGTCGATCCGGATATGGACTTTCACCTTGTTGGCGATGCCGCCATGGACCAGCCCCGCTTCGTTGAGCGACTTGCGCGTCCTGCAGACCGACATATTTGCCGACCACGCCGATCGTCCGCCCGCCTTCCGGATTGGTCAGGCGGTCGACGATCTCGGTCCAGCGCGACAGGTTGGGCGCGCCTTCCGGCTCGATACCGAACGCGGAGTACTTCCGAATCGGGGCCCTCGGAGCGGTACTGAGCGGCACCACATAGATGCTCGACGCGTCGAGTGCTGGGATGACGGCGGACGGCGGCGTTGCGAACAGCGCGATCTTGGCGCGGTCGGGACGCGGGCAGCGGATGCTCGCAGCGGCAGACCAGCACATCCCGGGCGACACGCCGAGTGCCGCGATCTCGCGCACCGAATGCTGGGTCGGCTTTGTCTTCGTTCGCCCGCCGCCGCGATATAGGGCACCAGCGTGCGTGGATGCTGATCGGCTGGCCACGGCCCAGCTCGTTCTGCGCTGGCGGCGGATCGCCTCACGATGAAGGGGGCGATTCGATATCGCCCACGGTGCCGCCGATCTCGCACAGGACGAAATCGAGATCCTCGCCATTCTCATCGACCGTATCGGCCCCGCGCGAACGCTTTGATCGCGTCGGTGACGTGCGGATCACTGGACAGTCGCGCCCAGATAGTCGCCGCGCCGCTCGCGCTCGATGATCGTTTTGTAGATGCGGCTGGAGGTGACATTGTCCGACTGGCGCGAGGCCACGCCGGTGAAGCGTTCATAGTGACCCGGGTCGAGATCGGTCTCAGCCCCGTCGTCAATCACATAGACCTCGCCATGCTGATACGGGCTCATCGTGCCGGGTCGACGTTAGATAGGGGTCGAACTTGCGGATGCGCACGCGGTAACCGCGCGCCTGCAAAAGAGCCGCAAGAGAAGCCGCCATGAGGCCTTTGCTGAACGACGAGATCACGCCGCCGGTGATGAAGATATACCGCGCCATGGGAAGAATCGCCTAGCTTGGATGGGTGGAAACGACACAAAAGATGCGCGCCGCCGGAAATTTGTCGGCGGCACGTTGGCACTATGCTGCGATGGAAACGAGATTCAGCGGGCGAGCGGAACCGCCGAATTGTCCGCCGGCTGGGTCGCGGGGCCCGCTGGTGGGAACCGGTGCCGGGGCCGGCTGGGTGATCGGCGCCTGAGTCGCGGGCGTGGGCCAGCGAGGTGTCGATCGTCGGCGCGCTGCGCGTCGCGGCGAGGACCGCGAGCAGGATCGAAGCCGACAAGGCGGTCGCCGGGACCGCCGTCGCGCGGCTCAGGAAATCCGCGGCACCTGCGCCGACATCGAGCCCGACGGGCTGCCGCCCATGCCCAGACCGCCGCCCCTCCGACCGCTGCATGAGGATCACCCGACGAGCGTCGCAGCGATGATGGCGTGGATGACGAGCAGGAAAGCGGGTATAAGCGTGGCGATCCCGATGAAAGGTGTGCGAAAGCGCGCACATAGGCGAGGCAACGCTTGCGATCAACCATGCGCGGGGTCCCAGCGCATTCACGAACCCCACCAATGGTTCCGCCGCGCGCCGATTTTAAGATGTTACGGATGGCGGAACATGAGTGGAAACCACACCGCGAACAGGGGCGTTATGACATCGAAACAACGTCTGGCAAAGGCCGGTACAGCCATTGGAATTGCTATCGTGTCCCACCCACACGAACTGCAGTCGCTGTTGGCTGGATGAGCGCTCTGTCGATTATGTCCGTTCCGTGAACCTGATCTGACCAATCGACAGATGGCCTTGCTACTCGTCGTTCATCTCCGTCCTGGCCCCCATACGCCGGTGCGCGGTTTGGCGCGCGCCTTGAACGTCTCGAAACCCGTCGTTACCCGCGCCTTGAATAGACTGGGAACGCTGGGCTATCTGCGCCGCCAACGCATAGCGACAAGCGGAACATCTTTGTCGCGTGGACACCTGAAGGGCGGACTTTCTTGAATTCGGACATTTCATCAGCTGGCGACGCCCCACCCTCCACCGGGCCAGCGCGTAAGAGCTTTTCCCTGCAGGGCGCACGGTCAGCCTCGACCCACCCATGCGGTGCGGCCCGACCGCCGATGTGCGGCTCGCCGAATATGTATTCGCGCCGCATTATGCGGCTCCCCTCCCTGTCGCACCAACGCCCCGGCTACTCCCAGCGAGGGGCGGCGCGCGGACTCGGCGGTGCTGGCCGAACTGAAGGCTGGCGAAGCTTTTGAGGTGCTGGAGCTGGCGGGTGGCCTGCACGTTCGCATCGCGCCGCTGCTCCGCGCTGGTCGGCTATTGCATGCGACGCTGCTGGAGCCGGTGCAATGACGGCCAAGACGGTATTCATCGATGGCGGCGCCGGCACCACGGGCCCGGAGATCGCCGACCGGCTGGCTGGCCGGCCCGACCCGTCGATCCTCACCTCGCCCGATGATCGCCGCAAAGGACGCCGGGGCGCAGCGCGAGGCGATCAACGACGCGACTTCGTCATTCTCTGCCGCCCGAGCGATGCGGCGCGCGGGAAGCGGTGCTGGTCGCCAACGACTGTACCCGCGTCGTCGATGTTCGACTGCGCACCGCACGGCCGAAGACTGGGCCCATGGTCTCGCCGAGCTGGAGCCCGATCAAGCCGAGCGGATCGCGGCAGCGCGTTTCGTGTCAATCGGCTGTTACCCCACCGGCTTCTCTCGCTCTCGTCCGTCCGCTGGTGCGCGCGGGGATTATCCCGCTGACTGGCCGGTCTCGGTCAACGCCGCCTCAGGCTATTCGGGCGGGGCAAGGCGATGATCGCCGAATATGAAAGTGCGACCAACGCGCCTTCCGCCCTTACGGCCTGACGCTCGCGCACAAGCACGCACCAGATGCAGCGCCATTCCGGCCTGACCCACGCGCCGATCTTTCGCGCCAGCCGTGGTCGACACCTATCGCGGCATGGTCGGTGCCCTGCCCCTCCACGCGCTGCCCGGCACGCCGTCGCTCGACAACGTCGTTCAGGTGCTAGCGGAGGCCCTATGCCGACAGTCGCATCGTGCGCTTCGCCCCGGATGACGTAGCGGCGGTGAATATCGAGGAAAATGCCGGAACCGACCGGATGACCTTGCGCGTGTGCGGCAATGCGGCCACGGGTCAGGCTCGATTGATCGCCACGCTCGACAATCTGGGCAGGGTGCCGGTGGTGCGGCGGTCCAAATTTGAACATCATGGCCGGGCCTGATCCGACCGCCGGCCTCATCCCTCCCTAAGGAGACGTCATGACGCGCAATCCGTAGGCAAGCTGCTGCTGTTCGCGCGCGACCGGCGACCTGTCGCAGCGGATGCTGCTGCCGTCGCTGTTCAATCTTCACTCGGACGGATTGCTGCCCGACGGGCTGACCATCACCGGTACCGCGCGATCGGATCATGACGATGCCAGCTTCCGCGAGTTCGCCCTCGCACGCGCTCGACACCTTCCTGCCCGAGGACCGCAAGGATGCGGACAAGATCGAGAGCTTCCTGAGCCGCCTGCAATATCAGTCGCTCGATACTCGAAGACCGACGGCTTTCAGCCCCGGCGGAGAAGGTCGGCGACGTCTCGAACGGCCTCGCCATCTATCTGTCGACCGCGCCCAGCCTCTTCGAGTCCACCATCAAGGGCCTCGAATCGGTTGGTCTGGCGGGCAGACGGTGCGGATCCTTTGGAAAAGCCGCTCGGCTACGATCTCGCTTCGTCCAAGGAGATCAACGACGCGGTCGCGTTCGGCTTTCCTGGAGGAGCGGACCTTCCGCATCGACCATTATCTGGGCAAGGAAACCGTCCAGAACATCCCCGCGCTACGCTTCGGCAATTTCTTCTTCGAGCCGATCTGGAATGCCCACGGCATCGACAATGTGCAGATCACCATCGCCGAAACCGTCGGGCTGGAGGATCGCGCGGGCTATTATGAAGGCGCCGGCGCGCTGCGCGACAGTGCAGAACCATATCCTGCAACTGCTCGCGCTGATCGCGATGGAACCGCCCGCCCGTTATGACGGCACCGCGATCCGCGACGAAAAGGCCCAAGGTCTTCCGCTCGCTGCGCCAGATGACGCCGGAGGAGGTGCCGCGCCAACACCGTCACCGGCCAATATGGACGGCGCGGTCGGCGGCAAGATCGTTGGCTCCCTAATGCCGACGAACTGGGCAAACCGTCCAAGACCGAGACCTTCGTCGCGATCAAGGCGCATGTCGACGGTGGCGCTGGCAGGGCGTGCCCTTTCTACCTGCGCACCGGCAAGCGCATGGCGACCCGCCGCTCGGAAATTGCGATCCAGTTCAAGCCGGTGCCGCACTCGATGTTCGCGGGCCGCGGCGGTATCCTTCAGCCCAACACGCTGGTCATCCGCCTGCAGCCGGAAGAATATATCCAGCTATTGGTGATGGCCATGAACCGGGCCTCGACCGCGAAGGCCTGCGCCTGCGCGAGGTGCCGCTGAACCTGTCGCTCGATGCCGAGTTCGCCGGGACCCGCCGCCGCATCGCCCACATGAACGGCTGCTGCTTGACCTGATCGAAGGCGACCAGACGCTGTTCGTCCGCCCGATGAGGTGGAGGCCAATGGGCTGGATCGACGCGATCCCGCGCCGGTTGGGACGCCAACGACGTCGCTTCCAAACATTATCCCAGCGGCAGTTAGGGTCCGTCCGCCGCGATCGCGCTGACCGAGCGTGACGGCGTGACACAACAGGACGACTGACACACCCCATTTCTGATCGAAGTTGGGACGACTTTGGCGCTTGCGGCTTGCCCGATCGGCGGGACACGCTTCGCGCCCACAATATCAGGACAGGATGACATGACCGACGAAATCGAATGGGTGGGATTAAGAAGACACCACCGAAATGGCGAACGCGCTGGCCGGCGACATCCAGTTCATCATCGAAAGCGCGATCGAGGCGCGCGGCGCGGCGGTGATCGCGCTGTCAGGCGGCAAGACGCCGGTTCCGGTCTATGAAACTGGCCCGGGGGCCAAGCTCGACTGGAAGCGTGTGACCATCGTCCCGCCGATGAGCGCATCGTGCCGCTGGGCGATCCGCTATCCAACGTCACCATGATCGGTAAGACCTTCCTGCCCAGGGTGCGTGGGTGATGCCGATCGTGCGCAAACGACCCGGATTATAAGGCTGCCGGTCGTTCGGCCGATGCGCTGATGCAGGGAGCTTCACTGGCCGCTCGACACAGCGGTGCCGTGCTGGGCATGGGCGCGGACGGGCATACCGCTTGATCTTCCCGGCCCCGATTATGACGAGGCGCTCAACGGGCCGAAGGAACGTCGCGCGCTGGGCCTGATGCCCGATCCCTGCCCCCCGAAGCGCCGGTCGCGCGTAACGCTCCAGCCGCGCCGGGATCGTCTCGGCCCGTGCGATCATGATCGCCACTGGGGCCCAAGAAGAAGAAAGTGCTGGAAGACGCCATCAAGGAAGGCGCATCGTCGCCCTATCCGATCGGTCGAGTCCCGCCGAGGTGGAACTGCCGATCGATATCCACTGGAGCGAGCAATGAGCCTGAACGCCGCCGTCTCCGCCGTCACCGACCGGGTCATCGAACGCTCGGCTGGGGCGCCGGGCCTATCCGACCTGATCGCGCACGAGGCCGAGACGGCGGGTGCGCCGCCCAATCTGGGCGCCAACTGCCTATGCCTATGCCAGGACCGAGGAAGACCGCGACGCCATGAAGGCCGATCGCGGCATGAATATCGGCATTGTGTCGGCCTATAACGACATGCTGTCGGCGCACGCGGTCTACTACCGCTATCCCGAACTCGCGAAGGTCTGGGCGCGCGAAGTGGGCGCAACCGCGCAGGTGGCGGGTGGCGTACCCGCCATGTGCGACGGCGTGACGCAGGGCTATGCGGGCATGGAGCTGTCGCTGTTCAGCCGCGACACCATCGCGCTGTCCACCGCTGTCGCCCTGTCCCACGGCACCTTTGAAGGCGCGGCGCTGCTCGGCATCTGCGACAAGATCGTGCCCGGCCTGCTGGCGGGTGCGCTGCGCTTCGGCCATCTGCCGATGATCTTAGTCCCCGGCGGCCCGATGCCGACGGGCCTGCCTATCAAGCAGAAGGCTGCCGTCCGCGAAGCCTATGCCGAGGGCAAGGCCGGGGCGCGGCGAACTGCTCGACGCCGAGATCGCCGCCTATCATTCCAAGGGCACCTGCACTTTCTACGGCACCGCCAACACCAATCAGATGATGATGGAGGTGATGGGTCTGCACACGCCGGGGCCGCCTTCGTCAATCGGGCACGAAACTGCGCCAGAACTCAGCCGCGCCGCCGTGCACCGTCTGGCCAAGATCGGGCAGCAGGGCGAGGATTACCGGCATTATTGGGCCGATGCGTCGATGAAAGGCGATCGTCAACGCGGCGGTCGGCCTGCTGGGCGACCGGCGGCTCGACTACCATCTGATCCACCTGCCCGCCATCGCGCGGGCGGCGGGGATCATCATCGACTGGAGGATATGGACCGCCTCTCGGCTGCCGTGCCGCTGATCGCGTGGTCTATCCCAACGGGTCGGCGGACGTGAACGATTGGGGGCGGCAGGCGGCATGTTCGCGTCATCCACCGAACTGCTCGGCAGGCTGCTCCACCGCGACATCCTGACGGTGGCGGGCAAGGACCTGTCCGATTATGGCCAGACGGCCGTGATCGCGGACGACAAGCTCTTGGACCCCCGGTCGGCGACAGCGGCGACGAGACGATCCTGCGACCGCCTCTGCACCTTCTCGCTGGATGGCGGTATGCGCATCCTGTCGGGCAATCTGGGCCGCGCCTGTATCAAAGGTGTTGGCGGTCGAACGCGACGTTGGATCATCGAGGCACCCCGCCCGCGTCTTCTCGATCAGTCGGAAGTGCAAGCCGCGCGTTCAAGGCGGGCGAGCTGGAGCGCGACGTCGTCGTCGTGGTCCGCTTCCAAGGCCCAAAGGCCACCGGCATGCTGAGTTGCACAAGCTGACCCTGCCGCTGGGCGTGCTCCAGAACCGGGGCTTCAAGGTCGCGCTTGTCACCGATGGCCGCATGTCGGGCGCCAGCGGCAGCGTCCTTGCGCCATCCACCTCAGCCCCGAGGCGATCGGCGGCGGCGCGATCGGCCTGATCCGCGATGGCGACATCGTCCGCCTCGACGCGGTCGCGGGCACGCTGAAGACGCTGGTCGACCCAGCCGAATGGGCCACCCGCAACAGGCGGAAACGCCCGCACCGGTCAGTGGCCGGGCGCCGAGCTGTTCGCGCTGTTCCGCTGTGCCGCCGACGAGGCTGAGGGGCGCATCGCCCATCCTCGCCGGCGCGGGCCTGTAAGAGACAAGGGGAGAGGATCGGCGGAATCGTGCCGTCGACATCGGGGGCACCCATGCGCGCTTCGCGATCGCCGAGGTCGAGAATGGCTGCGTCGTCAAGCTGGGCGAGCTGTGCACGCAGAAGACCGCCGAGCATGCCCTCGCTCCAGACCGCGTGGCAGGCGTTCCGAGGCGCATGTCGGCCGCCCCTCGCCCAAGGCCGCCTTGCTCGCTATCGCCTCGCCGATCACCGGCGACGTGATCCGTACACCAGCAACAACCCTTGGGTCATCCGCCCTCGCTGATCCCCGAGCGGCTGGGCGCGGACGTCTGCTCTGGTCATCAACGATTTCAAGCGCGGTCGGCCATGCGGTCGCGCAGGTGCCGCAGGAGGACTACACATCTGTGGGCCCTGGAGGAGCCGTGCTGAGCACAACGTCATCCGTCTGCGGCCCCGGCCCGGGCCCGGGCGTCGCGCAGGTGCTCATGACGCCCAACCGCTATCGTCATCGAGACCGAGGGCGGGCATATGGACTATGCCCCTCGACGGGATCAGGACGCGATCCTCGCGCCTGCGCCGCACCCATACCCGCGTGTCGCGAGCGGATCTGCTCCGGGACCAGGCATCGTCGCGATCTATGAGACGCTGGCGTCGCTGGAAGGTCGCGCGGTGCCCAGCCGCGACGACCGCGAGATCTGGACCGAAAGCGCTGGAGGGCAACCGATCTGATCGCGCTCGCCGCGCTTGACCGTTTCTGCCTCGCGCTCGGGGCCGTCGTCGCGGGCGACTTTTGCGCTGGCGCAGGGCGCGAAGACCGTCGTGATCGCCGGTGGCCTGGGCTTCGGATCAAGGACAAGCTGTTACGATCGGGCTTCGGACCAGCGCTTCGTCGCCAAGGGACGGTTCCAGTCGCTGATGGCCCGCATCCCCGTCAAGCTCATCACCATCCCCAGCCCGGCCTGTTCGGCGCAGCGCGGCCTTTGCCTGTGAGCATACATGGACCGACATCGCCACCATCATGCGCACCAGCGCGGTCATCCCGTGCTGGTCGTGACGACGCTGCCACCGCCGCCGCTGGCCGAGGCGCTGGTCGCAGGGGCCTGAAGGTGCTGGGTGACGCTGCGCACCCCCGCCGCGCTGGTAGCCATGGCCGAGATGAAGAAGGTGCCCGGCGCGATCGTCGGTGCCGGCACCGTCGTCAACGAGCAGCAACTGCGCGACGTGGCCGATGCGGGCGCGGAATTCATCGTCTCGCCTGGCCTGACTGATCGTCTGGGTGCCGCGGTGATCACAGCGGCATCCCCTGTCTGCCGGGCATCGCCAATGCGGCGACATCATGCGCGGGCTTGGCACTGGCCTGACCCGGCGCAAATCTTCCCGGCGGAGACCAGCGGCGGCTGAAGGCGCTGGAAGGCGCTCGCCGCCCCCTTCATCAGGCCCGCTTCTGCCCCACCGGCGGCATCACCGAAGGCGAAGCGCGCCGGACTGGCTCGCGTTTCGACCGTGCTCTGCGTCGGTGGTGGCTGGGTGACCAGCGGATCGATGCCGATGTCGAGGCCAAGGCGCGCGCCGCCTCGGTCTGCGCACGCCCGTGGCCCGCTGAGGCGGACGGCAGCAAACTCATTTCTGGCGACGGCCAGCCTATTACTGCGATAGGCTGGCCGTCATCAATTTGCTCCCCCAGCAGCGCTGATGCGCCGGGCGGAGGAACGCCTTGTCCGGTCAGCCTGACCAGTGCCGCGTCCAGCCAGAGCGCGCGACGTTTGACGCGCCCAGTTCGTCCGCCAGCAGCAACGCTTTCAGGGTCAGGTCACGCAGAGATTGAAATTGCTCCCTCGTCACCAACCCTGATTAAGCGAGGTCCATGGCGAAACCCAGCCCTGTACGGCAACCGCCAAGGCCGGAACGAGTGTCTGCGCCCAATCGAGAATCCGCCAACTGGCGTCGCTCAAGGCGAGAAAGCTCGACGCCGATCAGAAGGATCGCAATCAGGTCACCGGGCCATCGTCCGCAGCCGATTGATCCAACACCAGCCGGTCGTCTGGCGCCGCTCGCGTTGCAGCGGAGGCGCTGGTCACGGACAGTCGCTTGCCCTTGGCTTCGGTGACGAACATGTCGATCATCAGATCCCGTGCGGGGTCGCTGATGCAAGCAAGCGGAAATTGAGACCGACGGCATCCTGAGCCTTCAGATACGCCTCGAGCCATGCGATCAGTTGATGACCTTCCCGGATCTCCGATCGAGCGCGAGATCTGGGGAGCACCATCGCCCCGTGCACGGGAATCGCCCATACCGTACTGAGCGCATAATAGATTTTCGGCACGAACCGGGGAACGAACGCGACGGCGCAGTGACTGATCGTCGTCAGCATCTGCGCGCTGGGGCCATCCAGATCGGCCAATAGGACCGACTGAGCAGCATCAACACCATAAGCGCGCCCAGCAAGGCCATCGATCGCCACCGCCACCGGATGGACGGTCACGTAGGAGGGATGAAGCAGGTCGTCCACCATGGTCAGAACGACCGCCAACACTGGCGAATCCCGCGGCCCATCGGCCATCCTTCCCGCCAAAAAGGCCCGCATAGATGTGGGGCTGAAAATCGTCAGGATGAGAAAGGTGACCCGCACCATAAGCTATCGATCGCCTCATTCCATCATCGCGCCCGATCAGGCGACGATGCAGGGCTGCTTTTCCCGGGCATAATCCAGCGGATTATTGGGCCGGGACAACCAAAGCCGGTTTCGGCGATATTGCTGCGCTGAATGCCCGTCATCATCGCGGTCGCGTCGGTCATGCTGCCCCGCGCCGCCACGAGGTCGCCCCGCTCTTGTGGAAGACCGACGGGATGCGCTGGCTTTTCCTTGGCCGTCACGCCGCTGTCCGAGACCGCATTCAGGAAGGAATGGTCAGCGTCGCTGCGCTTCGAAGCATCGTCCATCTGGCGGAAGGTGGACTGAGTATCGCGAGCAACGGCAGCGGCATCGTTCGGAATGATCGTAATCATGGGGCCTCCACAATGGGGCTCAGCGTAGAACGCGCAAAGCCCCGATGAATATGAGCGTCCGAATGGCTAATGACGACCACCATCAGACAGGCGGCGCGCAGCATTTCGCGGATACGGCTGGTATAGGTCAGGTCATTCAGAATACCGCCGACCGGCGGCGCCTGAGCAATCCAGCGATCGTCAGGCCGAACCGTTGAGGCCCGTTTTGCGATCGGGATCAGATTTGGGAAGGTGTTCCGATCCAGATGAAATTGTTCGGATAGCGCTGAAGGGTCGGAAATCGACCCAGCACCGGGTCTTTTGGGGCCATGTCGGCATCTACCCTCACTTGGGGGTAGGCCGACCAACGCTTTCAACTGAACAAGAATTCTGGCTGCCTCACGACGATCGCTCGTGCCGAGCTGGACCATCGCCAACCGGATATAAGTGTCGATCGACGCGGGCGCCAAATGGACGATCGGCGCGATTTCTTGGTCCGCAGCCCTTGATGGACGAGGCGCAAGCAAGCCTTTTGCCGCTCACTTCAATCCCAAGATCTTGTCCAATGGCACTCCTCACTTGCGCTTGTAATATCATTGTTTGAGCAAGGTTAAACGACCCGACGCGGATTTATTACTTGGGTCGATCAACACGGAGAAGCAGTATCCGATCTGCTGCTTCAGCCGCCATCATGGCATGGGAGCCAGGAACTATGTTCGCCAGATTCGCTACCCTTCCGCTGGCCACCCTTGCCGCCAGCCCCACGACGCCGCCGGCCCTGCTGACCTGCCTGATCGTCACCAATCGGACGGCGGAATGGGCTTGCGGCACGTCCGTCGGCTCGGGTGTTCGGCAACGCCGATCTCAGGGCTTCTTCGGCGGCCTGAACGTCGCGCTGATCAACACGGACCGTGGCCTCATCCTGATCGATGGCGCTCACCTCGTGGGGCGCCTGCGATCTCGCCAATGTCATGGGAAACCTGGTTTCCGGGCCGCATGACATCAACATATCCTGAAACTGGAGCCACATTTCGACCATGCCGGCGGCATCGCCGCGCTGGCCCGCGACACCGGTGCGACGGTCATCGCCAGCGCGCGGGGGCAGAGGGATCGCGTACCGGGCGGCTGGCGGCGGACGATCCGCAGCGTGGCTATGACAGACGTTTTCCCGCCGTGGGCGCGGGTCCGGTGATCCGCGACGGTGAGCAGCCAGCGCTGGGCAACACGATCGTCACCGCCCGGGCGCCCCGGACATACGATGGGCAGCATGAGCTGGAGCTGGCGTGCCTGGAGAGTACGTGGCGCAAAGCGGTCGTCTTCGCCGCCAGTCTCAACCTGGTATCGACCGACGATTATCGCTTCTCCGCTGCCTCGAACAAGGCGGTCATCGCGGCCTTTGCTCGGGGCCGAGCGGCGATGCGCGAGCTGCCCCGCGACATCCTGATCACCGCCCATGCCGATCAGGACGGTGCGACTGGTCGCTTCCTGACGGCACCGCGCCTGCCGCCCCTATGCCTTGTCATCGCAGCGGAAGCTCGCCCAGCGCCTAAATAGCGAGCCCGCTAAAGCTCACATCTCCGCGTTGGCGGCGGATCGCATACCATTTCTGCACATTGGCGTTATGCTCGGCCAGCGTGTCGGCAAAGACATGGCCGCCCGATCCGTGGTCCGCCACGAAATACAGCGCCTTTGCTGTCTGCGGGGTTCAACATTGCATCGATCGAGGCACGCCCGATTGGCGATCGGCCTGACCGGCAGGCCGTATTGGGTATAGGTGTTATAGCCGTTCTGGCATGAAGTTCGACCGCAGGATACGCCGGCCGAGCGGGCGCCTTTTGGTGATGGGATAGATGACGGTCGGATCGGCCCAGCGGCATGCCAATGCGCAGCCGGTTGCTATAGACCGCTGCGACTGTCCGCCGCCGGATGGTCGGCCAGTCTCCTTCTCGACGATCGAGGCGAGGATGATCGCCCTGGGGCGACTTGACCGCTGCGCCGGGCTTGCGGTCTGCCCGTGCCTTGGCGAGGTAATCCATCATCGTTTCTGCATCCGCGCGCCACCACCGAGGCGCGGGTGTCGCCCTTCTGATAGGCATAGCTGTCGGGCAGGATCGAGCCTTCCTGGGAACCGCCACGTCGCCGGTCAGCCCGTCCGCACGCATCAGCGCATCATGGACCAGCACCGAGGGGATATCCTTCCGGCACCGGCACCAGCCGCTGGCGGACCTTGCCTTCCTGCAACAGCGCCAGCACATCGGACGCGCTGGCCTTTCGGGAATCGCATATTCGCCTGCCTTGATTGCCCCGCCGTCGCCGAACAACCGGGCATAAAGACGGAAGCGGCTCGCCGATGAATCGCGCCCGCCTTTTCGAGCTCATTGGCCGCTCAGGCGAGACTGGCGCCTTCGGGCACGACCACCGCCAGCGGCTTCTGCGCCGGACCGCTACTGGCCCAGTCATGCGCGACCCAGCGGAATACGGCGATGCCGATCAGCCCCAACAGCAACCCGATACAGCCGACCTTGCGCATATCTCACCTGGTTTGTGGGGGCGATGCCCGGATATCAACCCTTGGCGTCTCGATCCGGGTCCGGCTGCGACTTAGCTGATGGCGCGGCTTGATCCAGATTGGTAACCGACCCGGTCGTAGCCGGGGTTGAATTAATAATACGCGCCGTTCGCACTGGCCGGAAGTCGAAGGGCGTTTTGAACCCACTCCCGCATGCCGTGGCCTTCGACTTCTACAGGCTGAACGTGGGGGATTTAGGGCAGCGAAAGCTCAGATCGCCTTCATTACCAGCGAAGCATTGCCGCTGGCCGAACGAAGGTTCAGCACCGCCTTCACTTCACGCTTCTTTGCCGTGCGGAACGAGGGTCGACACCCCGGTCCCCTCGTCCGGATTGTCGAGGTTCAGCGTCGGCGGCACGATCTGGGTCGCAGCGCCAGATGCAGAAGATGCTCTCCACCGCACCGGCGCCGCCCAGCAGATGGCCGAATGCCGACTTGGTGCTCGACATCGACGCACCTGACAGGTCGTCGCCGAACACGCGCTTGGCCGCGGCCAACTCGATCGTGTCGGCCATGGTCGGTCGAGGTGCGCGTTGATATAGTCGATATCCGACGGCTCCATGCCCGCCTTGCGCAGCGCCATGCGCATCGCATTCTCCGCGCCTTGCCTCGGGATGCGGCGCGGTGACGTGATAGGCATCGCCCGACAGGCCATAGCCGACGACCTCGGCATAGATCTTCGCGCCGCGCGCCTTTGGCGTGTCCATATTCCCTCGAGCACGATGAGACGCCCGCGCCTCGCCCATCACGAAGCCGTCGCGGCCCTTGTCATCGGCGCGGCTCGCCTCGGTCGGACGGTCGTTCATGCTCGCGTTGAGCGCGCGCGCCCGGGCGAAGCCGGCGACGCCCAGCGGGTTGATGGTGCTTTCCACCACCGGCCAGGCATGATGTCGGCATCGTCGTCGCGGATCATCCGCGCGGCGTCGCCGATCGAGTGCGCCGGTCGAACAGGCGGTGACGACTGCATGGTTCCGGCCCCATCAGGCCATATTTGATGCTGGACCTGACCCGAGATCAGGCTGATCAGGCGGCCGTGACGAAGTGCGGGCTGACCGGCCGGGACCGCGCTCATGCAGGTTGACCGATCTGATCTCGATACCCGGCAGGCTGCCGATGCCTGAGCCGATCGACACGCCGGCGCGCAGCTTCGTCGCCTCGTCCATCTCAGTGAGACCGGCGTTCTTCCAGTGCCTGACCGGCGGCGTCGATGCCATAGGACGATGAAGGATCGACCTGACGCTGACCTTGTGGTCGACGCGCTTATCAGGATCAAGCCATATTCATGGTCCTGGGCTTCACCCGCACGCGATGGTGCATTTCTGCCCCGTGGTGGTATCGAACCGCGTGATCGGACCGGCGCCGGACTTGCCAGCGATCAAATTTGGCCTGTGCGGTTTCACGTCCGCGCCCAGAGGCGTGACAAGACCCAATCCGGTTACGACGACGCGCCGCATATTCCACTCCATTCCCATTGTCGAAAACGGCTCCCGCCCGCTATGTCGGGGTCGGGGAGCCGTTTGAAACCGCCTTGTCGGCCCGTTCGGCCTGCATGATCCGCGGCGGGCCGAGTGGCCCTGGACTTAGGCCTTGTTCTCGTCGATATACGGGATCGCGTCCTTGACGGTCGTGATCTTCTCGGCGGCATCGTCCGGGATTTCTGACACCGAACTCTTCCTCGAACGCCGCGACGAGCTCGAATGTCGAGGCTGTCGGCACCGAGGTCGTCGAGAAGCCTGCGTCCTCGGTCACCTTTATCGGCTTCGACGCCGAGATGCTCGACGACGATCTTCTTACGCGGTCGGCGGTCTCGCCCACGGTAACCCCTTTCTCGTATCTAATCGGGGGTTGGTAATTCCTGAACGCACGTAGAACGCGCGTCCTTTTCGGCAAGCCCGTCCAGCGACGGAGTTGGACCAGATACGCTCATTCGTGGCGATTATGCCCCTTCAAGCATCGCCATGCCGCCATTGACGTGCAGCGTCTGGCCGTGACGTAGCCCGCTTCCTTCTGACGCCAGATACACGACGCGGCGCCGATGTCCTCGCCTCTTTGCCCAGATCGCCCGCCGGAATCTTGCCGAGCAGCGCGGCCTTTTGCGTCGGGCAGCACATCGGTCATCGCCGAACGCATGAAGCTGGGGGGCGACGTAGTTCACGGTGACGTTACGGCTGGCCAATTCCTGCGCCACCGCCTTCGACATGCCGACGATGCCCGCCTTTGACGCGGTATAGTTCGCCTGCCCTGCCGCCTGCCGCGCCGACGATGGAGGTGGATCGAGATGATCCGCCGAAACGCGCCTTCATCATCGGTTTGGCGGCCGCGCGGATCAGGCGGAAGGTCGCCCAGATTCACGCTGATGACCTGATTCCACCTCGTCCTTTTCATCCGCATGGTCAGATTGTCGCGGGTGACGCCGGCGTTGCTGACCGTGATGTCGAGCTTGCCGCCCAGCGTTCCCACCGCCTGCGGGATCAACGCATCGACGGCGGCAGGGTCGGACGGCTGCACGGCACCGCGACGATGTCACCGCCCAGCTCGGCACGAAACGCCTCCAGCTTGTCGATATTGGAGCCTGAGAGCGCGAGCTTGGCCCCGCCGCCAGCGCCTTCGCCACCGCCGAACCGAGGCCACCGGACGCACCGGTCACGAGGGGCGGGTCATTCCTGTCAGGTCGAACATGCCCAATTTCTTCTATGCCGGGTCGCGCACCGGGCGCGTAATTCAGAGCTTGGCGAGAAGCCCTCGATATCGTCCATCGTCGCGACGCTGACCGCATCGGCGTCGGGCGCGATGCGCTTGACCATAGGGGCCCAGCACCGCCACACCAACTCTCGACGAACTGGGCCCGCCTGCATCCTGCGTATGGCCCGGCACCGATCTGCGCCAGCGGACCATGCCGTCACCTGCGCCACCAACGGCGCGCGGATCGCGCCCGGATCGGCAACGGCAGCCCTTCGACATTGGTACAGACTGCAACGGCGCGGGCGCGGATCGTCGCTTGGCCAGCGCGGGCATCCATCGTCGGCGGCGGGGCTGCATCAGCGGGCAGGCGGAAGGGCGCCGACACCGGCAGCAGGACGGCGCGCTTGGCGCCCAGATCCCTGGCGAGCGTCACCGCCTTCTCGATCGCCGCGCGGTGGCCGGAAATCACGACCGCTCGGATCATTGTCGTTGGCGACCGTGCAGACCAGTTCCTCGCCCCTCGGCCAGATCGAATCGACCGCCGCGCCCGCGATGGTCTTCGCCTTCTCCAGTCCGCGCCGAGCAGGGCGGCCATCGCCCTCGCCCACCGGCACCGCCGCCTGCATCGCCCGGCCGCGCAGCTTCAGCAGGCGCGCCGTCGTCGCCAGATCGAGCGCATCGGCGGCACACAGCGCCGTATATATTCACCCAGCGAATGCCCCGCGACGAAATCGGCCTTCTCCGACAGGCGGACGCCGCCTTCCTTCTCCAGCACCCGCAGCGTCGCGATGGCGTTCGCCATGATCGCCGGTTGCGCATTCTCGGTCAGGGTCGGTTCGTCGGCGGGTCCCTCAACCATCAGGCGATAGAGATGCTGACCCAGCGCCTGTCGACCTCTCGAACACCTCGCGAGCAACGGGGCTCGCTTCGGCCAGCGCCTTGCCCATGCCGACGGCCCGGCTGCCCCGCCCGGAAAGATGAATGCACGCATATGTCTTATCTGCCATCAAAGCGTTAAGTGGATGGCCCGCGCGGTAGAAAGGTCGCCCGCCGCTGGCAAGTCCGCCCCTTCCCCGCTTGCCTTTTTGCGGCCAAATCGCTATGAGCCAGCGCACCATTGGGCGGAAGCACCTGCTTCACCCGCCCTCATGCCATTTTGGCGTGACGGTATTGAAGTATGGAAGACAGCCGGAGGGCGTGCCACATGGGGTGGGCGTCAGCGATCGGCCAACATAAGGTAAGCTGCATGGCTCTTTACGATCGTGTTCCTTGCGCGCCGGGATCTGGCACAGGCGCAGGTGGA